GTGCTGTGGATGGTGGGTACTAGGTCGTGCTGGGGATGGTGGGCATTGGGTGGTGCTGGGGATGGTGAGCACTGGGCGGTGCTGAGGATGGTGGCACTATGGTTTGTGGGGATATTTGAAACTGCTTTGTAATAATTTGCACATTTATTTGAAACTGCACTTTATGGTAAGAGTGTTTGGTGGCTGAGTCAGGGATAAGGCACTGAGTGGGCCTTGTCCTGCTTTTCTCCCTAACGAGGATTTGATCGCAGCCCGTCTCCTAGCTGAGCTCAGCTCTTACCCGACCTCTGAGCGTCGCCCCATCTGTACACCCTCCACATCAACTCCTGGAGGTTCTCCTGAGATTCTAAAATGAAAGGTGCAAAAACTGTCCAAAAAACCCAAAAACCCTGTAGACCTTTTCATTCATTCCTTCATTCATTCCTTCAAATCATACTCATCCACTCAAAGTTCCCTGGACACCGAAGTTTGATTTTCTTTCTTTCCGATCTTTCTCCCATTTTTAATTAAGCAAATTAACTTCTGGGCGCCTTTAAAATGGGACTTTTTAGCCTAAGATATTTCCGTGGAAAGATTTGCTATTTCTTCCGCTTCTGCTACAGTATATGCGGGCCTTTACTTATGGACTTAAAGATTAGGTGTTATAATCCCTCAAATTCCACACTTAAAACGATCCTCTCACTAGTAGAATTGTGGGCTGTAAGCAAAGCATCTTCCGGGAATGGCACGTGGGATGTGGAGGAGGTAGTTTCTAGCTGTGAAGGAGCCGTTAGCCTGTGGAGTAGCGGGCCACCCCGTGAAGGGCCCAGGGCACCCTGCTTGCCGCTCCTCTATGTAACCCCAGGGGTTATCGCTCTGTTATTCACCCCGTGTCCCTGGTGCCCGGTACAGTGCCTGGTGCCGCCTCATCTTTATAAATATTGATTCAGCAAAAGTCATAGAAGAGAAGACAGATAAGTAGACTAGAGAGCGGGTTGTAATAGACGCTGGGGAACAGGGTGGGGGCAGGGACGCAGGAGGTGACCGCTGTTTGGGGAGTGGGCCCTGGACAGCAGGTGAGACTTGAGTGGATGGAGTTGTGTGCACGGTGGGTGCGGATGGACAGAGGCCTTTCAAGCGGAGACCCCGTCTCTGCTGGACGTGCTGCTTGTATGGGAACGTGTGGGTCACGTCCAGACGCTGCAGAGCTGCGGGGCAGAAACTGGGGGAACGGGTCCTCAGTGCCAGCTGCGGGCAGAGCCTGGGGGAACGGGTCCCCATGCCAGCTGCGAGGGAGAGCTGGGGGGAACAGGTCCCCTGTGCCAGCTGCGGGGCAGAGCCGGAGGGAACAGGTTCCCAGTGCCAGCTGCGGGGCAGAGGCTGGGGGGACGGGTCCCCTGTGCCAGCTGCGGGGCAGAGGCTGGGGGAACGGGTCCCCTGTGCCAGCTGTGGGGCAGAGCCTGGGGGAACGGGTCCCCTGTGCCAGCTGTGGGGCAGAGCCTGGGGGAACGGGTCCCCTGTGCCAGCTGCGGGGCAGAGCCTGGGGGAACGGGTCCCCTGTGCCAGCTGCGGGGCAGAGCCTGGGGGAACGGGTCCCCTGTGCCAGCTGCGGGGCAGAGGCTGGGGGAACGGGTCCCCTGTGCCAGCTGCGGGGCAGAGGCTGGGGGAACGGGTCCCCAGTGCCAGCTGAGGGGCAGAGCCTGGGGAATGGGTCCCCTGTGCCAGCTGCGGGGCAGAGCCGGAGGGAATGGGTCCCCAGTGCCAGCTGAGGAGGGGAACGTGGCCCAGGGCGGGAGGAGCGGTCCGAGGGGGACCCTATGACTCAGACTGTGCTGGGGACGATGAGTTTTATGGTGGCCGTAAGTGAAGTGGGGGGAGACACTGGAGGTGGGAGGAGAAAGGATTTT